ATTCTGTAAAGACGATCAAGTCACGTTTGTTGCAGTTAGTAGTATATAACCCACTTACAAAAATAATGATTCATAGAATTGATTCTTACACGAACTAGCTCGGAAAGAGCTGTCTATCCGAAAGTCACCCGGTGTTGCAAACAAGGTTATTATGACGAAAATACCCTTCCTGGGTACAAGTATATGAATGAACTGTCAAAAGATTACCAGATACGCACGTCTGACGAGCGACAAGAACCGCGAAACCGGTTGTGTGCTTCCAGGGAAATTTCGTCTAGTCATTCACATACTAATTATTATTTGTGTGTGTGTATAACAAACGAAAGTACAAATAACCAATAGATTTTCTGCACTAACCAATTTGCGGTTAACTTAACCTGGTGTTATCGATGGATTTCGGATAGTTGTCGATATCGGTCAGTCACTCCAAACTAATGTAGAGAAAAAGCTAACAGTCCAGCCAAATTGATCGAAAGTCTAAGAGTTCATTTGAGGCCTTTAGTTCCGTATACTGTCTTGTTCGGTTAGGACTTATCAACTATCAACTGGTACAATTACTTCGATCGAAAAAGAAGACATTTTGACAGTATACCAGTCGACTGGTGGTGTTCTATTTGCTTGGTCTATATGCTCTGCTAATTGGAAACGCTATTCAACGACGTGATGAGGACTTTGGAATATGCAACCCGCCGAATCACGGAATGGTCGACAATCAACAACTTATGAACTCACCCACTCACTCAATCCTAGTCACATTTGCATGTTGTTTACATCTTCCGTTTTAAGCCCCTAAAACAACTCAAACCGACTGTTTTTGGCCTAATTTGAGGACTAATCCAGGTTTAATGTACAAACACACATGTAGCTGCATATGGCTGAGCACGAGGTTAGGGAAACAAGTTTGACTACGTGCGACTGGTTTACCGACTAATAATGGAACAGGTGAGGGGTAACGAGATGGTCTCGAACGTAAATCGTGAAATACTGTGACATTGGTTCGCCTTTAAAAAAATAAACCGAACAAGCAATCTTCAGGTGCTCAACAGTTAGTATATCCATGTTCAGACGGTTCAATATACTGCAAAGTAAGCCTATAGATGATGAAGACTGCATGTGATCTAGATCGACCGAGTAAAGCATCGGTTTCACAGCGAGGTCGGCAAAGCACATGTTATTCCCGTTGTGTGCTGATATACCGGTCATTGTACCGAGGCTAAAACGTAGTGTGCGTGCACTTTCAACAAACAGTCAGAAAAAGCTCCGGACCTCAATATGTTCCTGTCACGCATCGGTCAGCTGGTAAGAAAATTCATGGACGAATTGGAGCAAAACTATTTAGAGCACTTTGTGACCCTACCCATGCACTGATATGCTGAAGTCACGTGGAAAGCAGAGAGTGGGCCAACTTCATTCCTCGTACTTAGTTATTACGGCATGAAATTCATAACATAAACTGAATAATTTCGTGCAACAGGAGTACGCACCCAGGGCGGCACGTAAGACAAAGATGACAACACTAAGAGAGAATTTAAAAAGGAAATCTGATTGGCATAAACTTGCTTATTATGCAGATTCGATATGCTATGGTTATGTGGGAAACATGGGTCACTTGAGCAAAACAAACGGAAAATGCATTCTTCAATGGTAGCACAACGTCATTTGTTGAATTTACAGATGAATCAGGCATATAAATCACACCATAAAAGATAATAGATGTTTATATGAGCGATTAACTTACCCACGCCACCGAACGGAATCTTCGGTCGCGAGATAAACGAGTGAATTCAATTCAACAGACAGCATGCGCAACAGGACCTTAGATTAAACAGCTAAATTCCTCTTAAACGAGGTTTTTTGGAGTGGGCTTCAGTACAAAAGACACTTGTTATGGCGGTCAGACAGACTCAAAGCCGGTGGTTCAAACCACTTCCGAAAGGTTTTACAATAATAGTAGCCAGTGTCTTTGGATCAAATGAAAACCAACATACGCCTGGAACTGTGACCAGCGGCATACGAAAACAGAATCAATCTAGATTAGTGAATTTGTAATAATCGATTCGATTTAAATGTGACGGAAATGCTTGTGATAATCGACAAAGAGCACTGGACAGCTGTTTCGTCCTGTTTGAGGCTCGTCAACAGTGCGTACTTTTTGTGTGCTTGTCAGGGCTCGAACCGCGAACAGTTCAGTTCAGTTCACTTTTTACAACCGGTAACCATGCGCTTTCGTGTGCCGGTTTTGGTTGCTGTCTTTTGGTGCCCCATTTGGCATAAGGGTCAAATGAAGATTAGATTGGGCTGGGACTTCAAACCCAGTGCTCTTTGTCGGTTATCACAAACATCTCCATCGCATTTAAATGCATTCAACCAGTAGGGGAATTAACGGTCTCCCAAGGAGTGAAATCCACACCTAAGACTAACAAAAGTGCCTAGTGCCTCTGAACAAATTGAATGGGCTAATCCAAGCTTGATACTCAAAAATCCATTCAGTTGTTTACAGGCACTGTTGACCATCAGGATTGAGAACAACAACGTGTAGCGTAAAAGCTCGTTTTCATTTATTCGTATTCATGCCACCTGATAACATTAAATACGATTATCAACATATTGAGGGCGTGACAAATTACTGTCCTAATGGTTCGATTTGACACAGAACTTATGCGTGAATGAAACTGAACTGTCAAAAGTTCAAGTGGTTACACACGTGCTGGGGAAGACGAATTGGGCAAAAGAAATGATTGCACAAACTTTGTCTAGGCACACAGGGGGAGTCATGGTGAATCCGAATACTTACGGTCCCGGCCGTGGTTAGGATGTTATGCCCAACTGCTCTCAATTACCTACATTGAACCTTGTAGATAGGTCGAAATGTGTTTCCCATACCCACTGTGTGTAATTCGATTCAACGAGGTGTGAACACGCACTCGCAATTGTCGTAATTGGCCCCGGTCTCAACCAAGTCGGATGGTGTCCACGAACGCGATCAGATAAGCGCCTGGTTGAGCAGCCAATGCACCCAGTTCCACAGGAATAGACGGATGAGTACACACGGAATGGGGCTGAATAATCTGGTACTCTTTCAATCGGCAACACAATGGGTCTGCATGT